GAGGAAAATGGTGAGGGTAAAGAAGAAGAAGAATGAAAAGAGGAGGAAGAGAATCAAGAAGAAAAGAAAGATGATAAAGAAAAAAAAGGAAAAAGAGAAAGAGGATGTGGATTAGAAAGAAGATAAAGAAAAAGAAGTAAAGAAAAAAATGCAGAAGATGAAGAAAAGAAGGAAATGGTCTAGAAAAAAAGAGAAAAAAGGACAAGATGAATAATAATAATAATAATAATAATAATAACAATAACAGGAGATTATCAAAGCATTGTTTAATATACAGTATTTGGTAAATAATAATAATTCAATTCTCTCTTTTTATTTGTACATCTATACAGGTAATATCTTTAACACAGTCTTTATATACTTTTTTTTTTCATTTTCATTTTTACAGTGTTTGTACATGTAAGTATTTTCTATAATTTACATAATTTACAAAGTTGGAAATAAAAAGGCATAGACTTTTTCCAATCTAGAACCTATTTTATAATTCTTCATATTTCAATACAGTTATAAATTAAGATACTTTCCAAATATATAATGACACTGATTAAACATCCGTCCCCTAGCAAAGCCCACAATGAGTTATAACAACATCCATTAAAGAAAGCTCATACAAAAGTAATACCATGTAACTCAATGTTATGGAGACAAAAAAAATATATATAATTTTGTAAAACCTTTTTCTAAAATTGTGTATGCTACATGGCAGTTTACAGCCCATATCATTTCTCAGAATAAGTATAAAAAAATAATAAATAATAAATTAAAAACAATAACAACAATTCCAGTATGATCATTTTAATATCATATAATCCTCACTGTAAATTAAGCAAATTATCATATTCCTTTCTCCACACAACAAGTCATCTTCCTCAGTTCACATCACAGTATTAAGGCCTAATAAACTTCTCTGATGAATCCCCTGTGTTTGTAAAATGTCCCATCGCATTGAACAGGTCCATCGGATTTTCATCAACCTCTTGGCATTTGTCGTCGAACTGCGCACCAACTGTCCACAGAGTCTCTAAGTCATATTCTTCTCTGATGTCCGGTTTCATGATGTGCAGTGCAATGTTACCTGAAAGAGAAGGATATGTAGATAGGGTCTTTTGACAATATTTGATTTCATGTTGTCTTAACAATATCATTCAGAAAAAAATTCCTTAGGTCTATTTTCTTTCAGTCTTGAGTAAAGTGCACGAGTATGTATATAAAGCCAACCCATCGTTCAAGTGCTTCTACTTAATGCTAAAAATATGGAAATCTCACACTGACTTTAACACATTACACCCTGGTACATGTGATGTCCATTGCTATTTTGTTCGGTGAATTTCCTTTACACATAAATAGGTCCATAAGGGGTCAGACACCAAGAGGACAATTAACAGGCCCTATGGGAATCGTCTAATTTCCTGCTTCCTTGAATTTTTAGGAATTTTTTCCTTTTCTAATGCTACCAATATCAATACTATTAATATCAGACATTATGATTATCATAACATTATCATATAATAGTAGCAACATAAGATGAAAAATGATCCTTCCAAAAATCAAGGAAAAAGGTAAAAAGGTGAAATAACCGACTCAACTAAGCTCTTGTAAAGCCCACAATCAATAAACTAAAATCACAGTGGACATGGCATGTACATAAATAGCATCCCTGGTAGCAATGGTTTAATTCATGGACTACTAATGCCATACAAAGATCCTAAAGGCATTACTGCCACATAAACTGGTCAATATTTTCAGTGCAATGTAGGTTCTTATGAGTGTTCAGAATCTGCAGTTCATGTTCTTCATAAGGTTTAGAATTAAATCACTATGTGTGATATCTTAAGGTCATCTGAAGTATATAAGCAAGAAGGAGAAGGAGAAGGTGTAGGAAAAGTAGCAGCAGCAGCAGCAGTAGCAGTAGCAGTGAAGAATAAGAATAAAAATAAGAATAAGAATAAGAATAAGAATAAGAAGAAAGAGAAGAAGAAAAAGAAAAAGAAAAAGAAGAAGAAGAAGAAGATAAAGATGAAGAAGAAGAAAAAGAAAAAGAAGAAGAAGAAAAAGAAAAAGAAGAAGAAGAAAAAGAAGAAGAAGAAGAAGAGAAAGAAGAAGAGAAAGAAGAAAAGAAAGAGAATGAAGATGAAGAGAAAGAGAAAGAAACTGAAAAATAAGAAAAGGTGGCTAGCAGTGGCAGCTAGTCATGAGTTCTCTCTAGTTGGCAAGCAACCAATTAAAAGCAACATACACCTTCAAACCTTTTGAATGCATTCATACCCAAACAAAAAGCCATTTACAACTCTTACCTATTTCTGATGCTCTCTTACCAAAGCCAAAGTAGCCTACAGCTATTACCGAAATCACAAAAACAACCTATTGGCCATCACAAAGCACACCATTCACCCTTTATCCAAATCACAAATGCATAACGAATTCTCTTACCCATATCCAGTGCCACCCAATTTGTTGACTTCCCTTCACATATGAGTGATGGGTCTTTCCTGTTCTTCTTCTTCTTGTAAATCCGGCGGATGGTTTCTGCAAGGGCGTTGATGTGCCGCTGGGACAGGCTAGTGGCCACGACCATGTAACCCACATACTTCATTTCTGGGGGCACCTGAGAGTATTGATTGGGGTTAAATGCCTGGCTGTTTAGCATATGGTTGTTGGCTTTAAGACATGATTAGATTGGTTCTAGTTAATTGTTTGAATATTTTGATTAATGTCATGGTCTACAGATTCATCTCCTTTGTTATTCCTCATATTCCTCACCTGAATGACGACAATATCCCTGGCATTCTCCTCCCTTAAGAAATCCACTAATTCCTCAACGTCGAAAACACCCGTTCTACCTCCTACAAGCAAAGTTTATAATATATCTGTGAGTAAAACATTAACATTAATCTTACTACTCATGTATTATATATATTTCAACTGACATATACATACATATGTGGCAACTAAAAGACAGATTCAGACAGATTGATATATATGCCTGAAAAAAGAAGAAGAAGAAGAAGAAAAAGAAGAAGAAGAAAAAGAAAAAGAAGAAGAAGAAGAAAAAGAAGAAGAAGAAGAAGAAGAAGAAGAAGAAGAAGAAAAAGAAGAAGAAGAAGAAGAAGAAGAAAAAGAAAAAGAAGAAGAAGAAAAAGAAGAAGAAGAAGAAGAAAAAGAAAAAGAAGAAGAAGAAAAAGAAGAAGAAGAAGAAGAAAAAGAAGAAGAAGAAAAAGAAAAAGAAGAAGAAGAAGAAGAAGAAGAAAAAGAAAAAGAAGAAGAAGAAGAAAAAGAAGAAGAAGAAGAAAAAGAAAAAGAAGAAGAAGAAAAAGAAAAAGAAGAAGAAGAAGAAGAAGAAAAAGAAAAAGAAGAAGAAGAAGAAGAAAAAGAAGAAGAAGAAGAAAAAGAAGAAGAAGAAGAAAAAGAAGAAGAAGAAAAAGAAGAAGAAGAAGAGAAAGAAGAAAAGAAAGAGAATGAAGATGAAGATGAAGAGAAAGAAACTGAAAAATAAGAAAAGGTGGCTAGCAGTGGCAGCTAGTCATGAGTTCTCTCTAGTTGGCAAGCAACCAATTAAAAGCAACATACACCTTCAAACCTTTTGAATGCATTCATACCCAAACAAAAAGCCATTTACAACTCTTACCTATTTCTTATGCTCTCTTACCAAAGCCAAAGTAGCCTACAGCTATTACCCAAATCACAAAAACAACCTATAGCCCATCACAAAGCACACCATTCACCCTTTATCCAAATCACAAATGCATAACGAATTCTCTTACCCATATCCAGTGCCACCCAATTTGTTGACTTCCCTTCACATATGAGTGATGGGTCTTTCCTGTTCTTCTTCTTCTTGTAAATCCGGCGGATGGTTTCTGCAAGGGCGTTGATGTGCCGCTGGGACAGGCTAGTGGCCACGACCATGTAACCCACATACTTCATTTCTGGGGGCACCTGAGAGTATTGATTGGGGTTAAATGCCTGGCTGTTTTGCATACGGTTGTTGGCTTTAAGACATGATTAGATTGGTTCTAGTTAATTGTTTGAATATTTTGATTAATGTCATGGTCTACAGATTCAATTCCTTTGTTATTCCTCATATTCCTCACCTGAATGACGACAATATCCCTGGCATTCTCCTCCCTTAAGAAATCCACTAATTCCTCAACGTCGAAAACACCCGTTCTACCTCCTACAAGCAAAGTTTATAATATATCTGTGAGTAAAACATTTACATTAATCTTACTACTCATGTATTATATATATTTCAACTGACATATACATACATATGTGGCAACTTTCAAAAAATGTGAAAACTTAAAAACAAAATACTTTTTTTATATTCTTTTTGGATTATAATACTTACTTTCCAGCACTAGCTCCTCCACTTCTGTTTCTTCTTCCACTATCCCTTCTGCTAGCCGTCTCTGCTCTTCATCGTAGTCATAGATTATATGCGTTTTGTCCATGCTGAACTTTTCGTACTTCTGTGTGGTGAGCTTGGTCCAGGCTGAAAGAGGGGGGGGGGGGGTTGAGGAAAGTCTGTAAAACGTATCTGGAATAGTGTCTGTCACTGTTTCCTATGAGATTATTAATAAGCTGAGAGCAGAAGAAATAGCCTAACCAACAAGTTGCTCAATTAGGTTCAATAACTTTCCTTACCCACAAAAAATATCTGGTGTACTTAGTCAACAACGCCATAAAGAGAGTATTAAAGCCCCTGCCATTCACTATATATGTAAGTGATATCCCAGGTATTATGAAGACAAATAGTAAAATGTTGGCAAACAATATAATATTATTCACATCAACTGAAAGTGTTAAGAGGAAAAAAAGAGTTAAAAGGAGATTAGAGGTTTTAGCTAAGTGGTCTCATATGAGGATCTGAGAAAGAGGAAGTTTTACAGTATCATTTAAAATATTAAAAGATTTAGTAAGCATAACAAAACAGGTCTTCTTTACGCCAGGATTGAGTCTGAATCTTTGGAGGTTATCAATGTTTAAAAACTATCTGCCTTAAAAGATTTATAATTGCATGGAATAAACTCATGGAAAATGTTATAATCTATGATACAGAATCATAAAAGGTTCCATGGAGACCCTTGGACCAAAACTGATATGGGTATCATATATATAACTTAGATCTAATTTCTCCCTCATTTACCACAAGTGCAAGTTTGAAAATTATTATAGATATTATAGACATTTAAATTTTGCTAAAGTTCTATTCCACAAAGTACATACTAATCACATGCAGAAATAACGAAGTATTTGGAAACTTTATCTGGAAGTGTGTATATACTGCAAATGGAAATTACTCACGATTCATGGCTGTCAATTCCGATCCTGTGTTTGAGTCTGCAGCGTGTTTGTCCGTACCCGATGATTTTGGAAGGTGATTTGTGTCATTCTTGTTGTTTCCTTGGTTCTCCTCTTTCCCATCGTTACACTCCTCTCTGGATTTCCCCAGTTCTTCTGCAAAGTCGCTCTGCAACTCACTGAGCCACTTCTTCACTTCTGGATCCTTGGAGAAGTCCACCTTGCTGTTCTTGTCATCGCTGTCCTGCCCGGAGCTTGTGCTAAACCTACTTCGATACTTGGGTGACCTTAGTGGTAGAGGGAGCAACAGCCCCTGTGGGTGGTGACTCTGGGCATCATGCTGGGTAATGAAATTGGTTTGCTTAGCCTGGTAGTCTCTCCTGGACACAAAGGAAGGTGTCCTTGAGCACAGGATGCAAGTGCGGGAAAACAAGCAACGCTGCATGGTTCTGGATTAACGTGGGCGAGTCATCAGCTATCTGTGGAAGGAGGATTAAATCATAAATAATATTTTATTAGGAGTTCATGCATTCATGCACTCCATTCACCAAGACTCACTGCAACTGAGGCTTAATCTGCACTGATCTTCACTTCGCAGTCACAGTTCTCAGACTGATAAACTCCTCTCATTTTTGTGCCACTCACACTCTGTTTTCTTTCCTCTTTCTCACTTGAGCCAACGAGCCTCACTCTTTCCTCTTGTGGCCCCAAATCACGCCCTGGCATCCAATCACCCTCTCACTCACGCTTGTGATGTCACGTTCTCACGCACATACGAACACACACTCTTCCTTTGGTGCTTGCCATCTACAGAGCTGCTCTTCTGAGAAAGAATGCTTAAAATTTTGTATTATATATCATTAAACACTATGATTATCCCACTTGCTGCCACCAACCATTACCTAGCACCCTTTTGAGTGCTGCTATACTACGTCTTACCACCCTTTATACTCCCTTAAATATGGATGGTAACAAGCCAAACATAACCCAATTATATTCACAGTCACATACTTATACAAGTGAATTTCCTCGTCTCCTGAGAAATCCAAATTCTCTCCTTCGAGAATACAAAGAGTTGCAGACCCATGTCCTGACTGGTTTGAATGGTCACACGGAATTCAATATGGTTTTAAACGGAACTGGGAAAATCAACCAAAGATAAATCCTCATGACCCTCCACATTCGACGACGGTTTGTACTGAACTCGGCATCAGTGCCACACAGAAAAGAAAGTAGAAAGAAGAAAGAAAATAGATCCAGGGGATATAGACAAGACAATAGTCTAAAACCCTATAAAAGAAGAAAAAAGAAGAAGTGCCACACAAGCGCCCCGGCCTCTTCTTCCACCCCAGCACAGAGCACAGTGGTGCCTTCGTTTACAAGGCCTATAGATTATCACCCTTATGTCCCCGAGGCAAGGTGTCAATAGTGCCTTACAAAACACTAAAGGCTTAACCATAGGATAAACACCACATTCTGTTGCTTCAATGTGAACTCCCCTGAATTACCATTCCATCTACCGTGTAACCATTGGAAAATCCGAATCCATGGTGTATAGTGGTCTTACCAGGTCAGGATTACCTATAAATTACTATTCCGCTGCAACTCCCATAAATTATTTATTTATTTAGAGGAAAACTTACTTTGAAAGTCCGTGTTCGTCTGCTCCTGATAGTCTGCTACCGTGTGTTATATCCCCATCGCATAGTAGTTAATTTAGATCGTCTATTTAATATTTTTTGTGAATTTTGGGGAGTTATTAATATCTTTGGTGATAATTATTGTCTTTTTTGTTATCTATACTTTATTACAGAGGTAGGATTGGATGATTGTGTTATACTGAATAAAAAACGTAATCCGGTTTTAATTTCGCTCGGTTAAAATTGATACAAAATTTGATAATTTTTATTATTCTATAAAAACTATCAAGTGCTATTTTATATGGGTTTTGTTTTAATCAGATTTGCTTATCAATATATGATTAACTTTATCCATTAATCGATTATCTTTATTTTATTTTTTTTAATATCACCTAATTGACCGTATTCACATACACCATTGATATTAATTATATTCACTCATATAATTAATATCGATAATATATTGTATATGCATTATCATTATTACTATTATTTCTTCTTTTATAGGGTTTTAGACATATGCATTATTCTACATTATAAAATTATAGATTAATTGAATTGCGCTCGTAGTCCCCGATCGCCATTGTTTACAAACATTGGAGACGAAGGCGACGTGGACGGTGGGCGTGAGGTTCAAGTTTTTGCCTCGATTATTATCCCTCCAGAAGAATTATGGAGTCTAAGCCGCGAGTTGTTGTGCTGTCTACGCATGAGAAAGATGGAAGGGAGATTGTGAAAGGTAAATTGTGTGTTTTGGTTTTAAGGGTTTGATGGTTAAAGTTGTTCTGTTATATATGTTCGGTGTTTATATATTGTACATTATTGTTACGGTATTATGTATTTACTTGCCGGTCTCTGAGGGGTCTTGATATTTTTTTTATTTCAAATGTCAAACCAATCCAATTGTATTTATTTATTTATTTATTTATTTGTTTATTGTTAAGTAATTATAGCTCTCCTTTTTACCTTACATCTTTCAGATTCTTGTTAAGTAATGGCAAATACAAAAGATTCTTCCCCATAAGTGAAACTGGTTGCTTGACTGTTACCTCTGATTTTATATATGTGTTTAGTTAGTTGTTCATTTAAAAATTGATCTTATTTTATTTAATTATATTACTGTATTTGTAAACATATTATTGTATATTATATTCAGTACATCCTACTAATGAAAACCAATTTGAACCTTCCAGGCATTCTTGATTTGGAGTGCTTGCCAAATCCCGAAGTAGAGAATGAGGGTGTTGAATGCTGGCCCTGGGAGATGGAGAATAAATACTACACAGCTTCGGTGCTGCTGTCGACGGTGCCTCACCCAGAGAAGTGTATGCAGTGGATCCTAGAGAGTGGGGAGGCCCTGATTGTATATTGTGATGCAACACAGGTCTGTTGCATTTTTATTTATTGATTGTTAATTAGGGTATAATTGTAAAAGTCATTTATAAGAAATATTGCTGTAGGATTATCAGAGTTTGTATTAAAGTTGAAATTTAAATTTTCTGGTACTTTTAGCTGTCTCTTTCATGCATAGTGAGACAACTAGTATAATTATTGACAGGTATTACTAAAGGATATTATTCACACTTGGTACAATTGCATATTGATTTCTTTCAAAGTCATATGGTTTTATTATAGATTTTTAAAATTTCAACCATGGTATCCACATCAGTTCATTACCTAAGATGAACAATAAATAACTTCCCAAAACCAATCAAAGTAGGACAGCTTCATTATCTCCCAACAGAATGATGCCCTCGACAGCATAAACAACTTGGTGGAAAATGTAGGGGAGTTTGAGCCAGAGGTGCAGATGCTGGTCTGTGACTCATGCTCATCAGAGGACGGAAATGGTGGACTATCGAGACTGAATGGTAAGTGGTCTGTCAATTTTGCTATATCTCTTGCATCTGTGAAGTGATTTTGCATTGAAATGTCTGTAGCCATACAACCAGTTCTCTTATTATTCTGTCACTTCCTTTGTCATGTGGTCACCTCTCATGTTGTATTACCAGGTCTCTTTTTATATTACTACTTCCCATATTATGTTACCCTTGATTTCCCCATTTTTTCACTTTGAGTTTCATGTTTCCATTCCTGTGAAGCATTCTTATTTTACCTTTATATCTGTCTCTCTTTCCTTTCTCATCTTCTATTTGTAAGTCATGTCAGACTATGTTGAGGTCCCCATTATATATGAAGTTACCAACTGCATATTAAGTTACCCATTTTATATTTAGTTTTTTCATTGTGTCTTTAGTTGTGCAGTGCATATTAACTTTCTCATTGCATTTGGAATTTCCTAATAAAGTACCCATCATATATTAGATTACCAGTTACATCCATTACTCATTTCAGTGATAATTTACATATTGTATATTATACCGAATTCCCTTGAAAAAGTCTGAGAAAAAGGTGGAAAAAGATTAAAACCCCAAACTCTCCTCCATCCTCCTTAGCCCAGCAGTGGTGTATAAGTAATGGCTGGGAGCTCATAGAACTGAATCGCGCACAGGAGACCAACAATGAGGACTCAGAAGATGAGGATGACTTCCCAGAGAGCCTTGGCTTTAAACGTGTCCGGCAGGCTCTTCATGCACACACCTGGTCCAACCTGGTCATGAAAGGTAATGCAGGTTTGAACTTGGTGTAGTTTGGAGTCCACTGTACCTTGGCAAAGATTATTGCTGGGTTTTATTAATGTTAGACTGGTATTTGATGAGATGCTTTGGATGTATGTATGCATTGCTGATAACAATTTTAGTTACTTAGAGAAAAAAAGGAGAGAAAGAATGTGTTAGTGTTATCTGATTGAATGATCTTATGTACCCGAACCAGATAACAACCGAAGCAGCCGATTGAATGCAGTATTGCAATCAGTGGCTTCAAAGGACGACAAAAATGGCAAAGAAGGACAGGAATCGGATGAGGTGCTCTATTCTCAACTATCAGACTTGACTGTGGAGGATAACAACACAGGGGCTGCAGGTAACATCACCTTCTTATCATCTTAACGTTTTCCACTTCTCATGTGGATAACTTCACTTTGCCTTTTTCTCTAC